TAAATAATTTGTACAAAATCACAAATACACATATAAAAACTAAATAATTATAATTATTTCTCATTTTACTGTAAATATACAAATGGAAAAACACTTAATTTAATTACCATTGGAATAAAAATACATATTTTTAAATATAAAATGACATATAGGCACTCATGTCTGGAAGGTTTGGCAAAAATTAATTTGATTATATTCTATGCTTCATTGTAGCATTTTCTTAGGTTTTGCAGTGTTTATCAAGTTACTGGACACTTTTTGCCTTAAAACTCTGGTAAAACAGCTTAAACGGGTTGTGGGTGTAGGTATGCGTTTTAAAATGCATAATTTTATGGGTGGCTTAATTTTTCAGCTACAAGGTACATTTTGTTTGTTTCCATGCTTGCCAACTTTTCTTGTAAAAGTTATTTCACAGTTTCGTGTTACAATTTGAGGCCATCTTGTTCACATAATGGAGTTTTGTCAAACTGTCAGGGTAGAATAAGAAAGCATGATAAATATTTGACAGGAGTGTAATGAAGGCAATGTTCTTGAAAGACATCAGATACATAACCCATCCAGCCCACAAGCATCTTCTGAAGAAGGGGAGGGGCTTATCCCCCTGAGGCCCTCAGGAGTGACAGGCCTGTCTCAGCCAATGACAGTGAAGAGGGGCTTGTGTCTGAGCTCTGAGGGTCCACGGCACTGGCCCGTGACACCTGTCACTCACATACACAGACTGGCTGCAGAGATGCTGCTGACCCTTCCTGCCTTCCCACTGATCTCTGTTTCATTCTCAATTGCTTTACAGTGCTTTTTGCTATTGTAGGGGGAAAAAAACTTCTTCACAAAGATGTCTAAACTGTCTGCAATGTAAAAAAAAAAAAAACCTTTTGATCTGAAGCTGCATTAATGGAAAAGTTCACCCAAAAATGTACTCACCCTCAGGCCATCAAACATGTAGATGAGTTTGCTTCTTCAGTGGAACAGATTTGGAGAAATTTAGAAATACCTGACGTAATCCACATGACTCCAGTCCATCAATTAATGTCTTGTGAATCAAAACTTTAAGCTTTAAACCATTGCTTGTGGCCAAAATATCAAAACTGCTTTGGAATGTTTTCGCTCATAAACATTGCTTGATCCGCGCATATTTCTCTCCGGATTCAGACGAGACTTTTCACTGGACAAAGCAATATTATGGACAGAGGACTCTTATAAACAGACAGCTTTTCACTTCACAAGATGTTAACTGATGGACTGGAATTGTGTGGATTGTGATGTTTTGTATGTGTTTGGACTCTTATTCTGACGGCACCCATTCACTGCAGAGAATACACTGGAGAGCAAGAGATGCAATGCTACACAAGTTTATTACAATGACGCATCAAACTCTTCAACATCTTGGATGGCCCAAGGTTGAGTAAATGCTCTGCCAATCTTTTCTGTGAACTATTCCTTTAACACCTAAATGCAAATGCGGACTAAAGCAAGGTGGATTGCTACTAGTAAGGAATGCTTTACCTAATCTAAGACTCTGTGTAAACATGGATGTACATATTTTTAGACCTCTCTTATACAAAAAAAATAAACAGATCACAACATTTGAGAAAGATGGCCAATGGTTGCATTAGCTACCATAATAGATTAGTCAGGTTACGAAGGTGTATCTGTTGGTGTACATGACATACAGTACCTGGATCTGCCAATCCAGTCGTCTCTAGAAGGATGTAGTCAAACTTTCCTTTCTTCTCCATTAGATTTTCAATAGCTTTTAAACCATTGTCTCTGTAAAAGCAATGGGTGATAATGTATTATCTGACATAATTCAATATATGCAAGTATACACTAGTTTGGGATTGGTAAGAAGTCTCTTATGCTTACCAAGGCTGCATTTATTTGATCAAAAATACAGTAAAACAACAACATTGTGAAATACTGTTACAATTTTAAATAGTGGTCTGCTTTATGAATACATTTTAAAAATGCAATTTATTTCTGTGATGCCAAAGCTGAATTTTCAGCATCATTACTCCAGTCTTCAGTGTCACGTGATCCTTCAGAAATCATTCTAATATGCTGATTTAATGCTAAAGAAATATTTCCTATTATTATCAAGATTCGTTTTGCTTAATATTTTCATGGAAACACATCTTTTTTTCAGGATTCTTTGATGAAAAAAAGTTAGCATTTATTTGAAATATAAATCTTTTGTAACATTAAAAAGTCATTATTGACAAATGGATTATTATTATTCAATATTATTATCAATTTAATGTTTCCTTGCTGAATAAAAGTATGAATTTCTTTCCAATTTTTTGAACGGTGGTTAATTATTTATCACGCAACAGTAGTTATAATGTTTTTTTATAATGCCATATAAATAATCAATAATTAGAAACAATTAAATGAATAAAACAAGGACAACAGTTATTAATCACTGGAATGTAACGGCAATCAGAAATAGTGGGTTTCCATTTAAGTCATCTCAAAAAGTCCAAAAATAGTTCTGTAGTCCAGATGGAACTGTATTTATTCTTCATACTACTTCAAACTACAACACACACAGACACACATTCATATACTTTATAGTTTTGTCCTGGTATTGAGTAGTAGTCTGAACAACCGTACTTCACAGAGCAGCACAGGCGGCCGTTCCTCAGCGCCAGCCACTCCTCATACAGCTCTCCTGCCTGACTGACAGCTAAAGACTTCTCCAGAGCACTGCCTGCAGACCAACACAGCACAGGTTCAACCTCTCAGTAGTAGCCCAGAATTACAATGTCATCTGCACTTTTGATCAAAATGTTCATGAATATGATCCAAATTACAAAAAAAATACGGCAAAATTTTAATGGTATAATTATGAAACATCCGAAGAGATAACCATGTTAAAGAGACCAAATCACAATGAAAATGCAGGTATTCCATCAGCAATAAGGTTCTACTATATTGCAGTGATTAAGAAAAATAGGGAATGCTTTGCTGCCCTCTCCTGGTCATAACAGCGAGAAATCCTCATGGACTGTCTTGAAACATAAAGCCATCTAGGAATAAAAACTAGACTAGGGGTCTGATAGCTTATTTGTTTGCTCATTTTATAACTTACCTTCACCAAATTCATTAAGAATGGCAGCTATTCGTT